CAGGCCTCTCTCATCTTTTTAAGTGGGAGAACTTCCACAATTGGTGGCTGACTAAATACTTTTTTGCCCCACTGTATGTAGTTTGAGGTTTATTTCAAGGGTGTAGTTCTATTGTTTAGGCCAACATATTTATCCTATTTTTTGCATGCATCATGAGAAACGTTGATAAGTGTATTATTTGCCACCTTTGAGTCAAAATTTTATTTGGGAAAAGTCAGTATATAATCGAACGTCTTTGCATATAACTTGCAGTAATGGGTCTTGTAGCCTGAGTTTGAGCCTAGTGCAGTACACATAATAAAAGCTGAAAGTATATTTATCACTGTTTACAAATGTGAAAGTACCCTTCACATAATTATCCTTTTTCATCAGTATATAAAGCACACTTCTAGTAATAACCATAGACATCAGTTTAATTCAAAAAATCAGATTTAAATAATCCAAAGACAAATATGAACTATATATATCCAGTAGTTTGGCCTTGAGTTTTTAAAAGATTCTGTGAACTTGTTATATTTTAGACTGTACATGAGTGGAAACTACATTTTAATTTGTTATATATATATATAAAATATAAATGTTGCAATTTTGGCTAATGGTTGAAATATAAAGAATGGAAGGTGAATATATTTAACTGTTATGTGTGTTTTAAGCTTAGTATAGATGGTGCTGCCTGACTCGAAACTGACTGGATTTCAAGTACCAGAATTTTTAGCCACTATATTGGCAGGGAATTCTGGGAGCTGTAGTGTAATATATTTTGAAGGCTGGAAATAATACATTGGTGGCACAATTGTATTTGTAGTGTTGTCTGAACTAATTGTACCTTTTTAGAAAAGCTGATTGTATTTGTAAACTTTGCATTAGTGGAAATATGAAGAGATTCATTAAATACACTTACATACAGTGTAGTTAATAAATATTGCCAGTATTAAAACACTAAATTTTGAGGCAGCAGTAAATATATACAACAGTGATTAGAATGAAAGCAAAATTAGAATAAAAACAAAAACATCTCAGCAGCATATAGCATTAATGCTGGATTCTGTATTGAATGAAACCAGAACTCTGAAACATTGGAAGGATTCTTGAATTTTTGGATGATAAATAATATGTGTTCTGTAGTATACATGGAGGAGTTAAAAGTTGCCAGTAGCCTACAATTGACTCATTGTTTCAAGATCTTAATGCTACTTTAGTAACAGCATTATTTTTTGGTTTCCTTACAGGTAAAAGAAAACTTATATTACAAGAAGCTCAAGTAGATATTATTCCATTGATTACATGTAATCAATATGATTGGTATGGTGGAATATTAACATGGAATATGCTTTGTGCTGGCTCTAAAAGTGGAAGAGTTGATAGCTGCCAGGTAAAATGGAAATTGTAACATTTTAAAACCTGTTGCCAAAACTATTTTTCATACAGTTGCTTGAAAACACTGTGTTAACTGTCAAGTTAGCGCCAACATAATTTGTAATTATATGCAGAAAAAGCCGTTATCTGTTAGATTTACTATTTCAGTTAAGATTTTAGCAATAGACAGGTCTGAATTTGTAAGGAAAAGCCAAAGGAGATTTCTGGAAAGTATTATTTATTTTCCCATTCTATTAAAAATACTTTGCTTCAATCCAATATAGTCATTTTGAAATAAAGAGTATGGTGGCTAATCTCAGAGCCTACAGCATAGTTTGATATAATAGCTAAAATTAGATGAGTCACCATGTACATATATATACATAGCTTGATTTTTACAATAAGCCTGCAGAACAGGTAGCTGATGTTCTCAGAACAGTGATTACATAGTATTTGTAAATAACCTACCTTATTTTTTTCTACAAAACAGTTATCACTATTTTTTGACAATTTGAGAGTAATTCATAAGTTTAAGAACAGTCTTTCTATTGTAAAATTCAAAGGTGTCACAAATAAAACAATGCTATATAATATTTTCATGTTTCAGGGAGACAGCGGTGGGCCTTTGATGTGCTATTCCCAAAATGACACCAGGTTTTATCTGATTGGAATCACCAGCTTTGGATATGGTTGTGGTCGGCCAAAATATCCAGGTGTTTATGTAAAAACAGTTAATTATAGAAGTTGGATAGATGCACATTTATTAGCTAAAACCACAAATCTGAAATTTCAGTTTTTCCTTATCCTTTTCACTGTGGGATGGATGATCATATGAACAGGAAAATATTTGTTCTACTACATTGGAATAATCTTGGATTACTACTTCATATGTCAGTTTGGAAACAAGTAACATTAGCAAAATTTGTTTTAAATAAATAGCATTTAACCTTGCCACAAGTTTATATTAAAAACTATTTTTCAATAATTTAAAAATCAAACCTCTCCAGGCACTGTTCAGTTGCTATATATCCATTACAAGCTATAAAGTTATGTAAATTATACCCTCTAAAGTTAAATAAAAGTTGAGTTTCAGACCTGCCTAAAGTAATTCCAGTGTTTGAACTAGAATTTTAAATATGCAAAAGTTTGACCTTAATAATTGCTTAGCTTGTTGAGCGTTCTTCTTAGCAGTATAAATATGTATAATACCTGCATTAGAACAAAATGTTTTTATACAAAGAATATATAAAAGTCACACCTTAAAATCATCAATGCTCATAGTCTCTTTGAGCACAATTTTATTTTTGATATATATCCCAAATGATAACAAGAAACACCCTGATACCTGAAATCATTATGAGAGTAATTCTACATCTTTTGTGATGATACCAGTTTGTGGTTCTTCTTCAAATTATCATACATCATTAATTTTACCTAGGATTCTTTTAGTCTTGCTGACTCTGAGGATATAGACCAGATCCTTAGCAGCATGAGGGATGAGGGAGTAGGTTTGGGAGGTGGTCAGTTCCTCTTTCAGGGACAAAATTGTACTTACTGCCTTGAAGTGATGCTTGATCTCACTATTATTGTTGGGTTACTTTTACCCCATTTCCATTTTTTTCCTTTTAAGGAAGACTTTGGAGTGGATGGTGGGAATACTGTTCTCCTTATCCTTTTATGTTTATCAGCAGCTTTTTATTATATCTTTTTGGAACACATACAAGGGGTGGGAATTGAGGACACTGTATTGTACTAGTTTCATTCCTTTCTGACTGGGCAGTAGCAGTGGATTATAAGGGATGAGCAAAGTAGCCTGTGGCTGCTTCTATATGGAATGCCTCAGAGTTCAATACTTTGTTTTTCAATATCTACATGAAGTCACTGATGGAGGTCATCCATTGGTTCAGGGTAATGACAAGTACATTAATGACACCAAATTATATATAAACACCCAGAGCTGAATAGATGCCATGGAGGTTCTTAGCAATGCTTGGAGGCTATAAAAGATTGGATATGACAAACAAGTTAAAATAGAATCCCAAAAAACCAAGTGCGGTTTATGTAGCAATAATATAGAAGTTGATTGCCTCTGTACTAGCCTTGGAAGGCATCTGTAACTTGGGAATGTTCCCAAATCAGCAGGTGGAAATTAGGTGCGGAATGCCTTTGTCTTCCTATACCTAGTGCAGTTTTTGAGCATGAAACTTTGGCAACAATAACTCCATGGCCTTATTACCTCTAGATTTAATTACTGCAATGTACTCTACTTAGAATTGCCCTTGAAGTCTGTCCAGAAACTGCAGTTGGTACATAGTACAGTATCTCATATATGAGTAGGCAAAAGCCAGTTCAACAGTGTAACCCCTATATTGTGGGCACTGCAGTGGCTTCCAACAGAGGTACAATTCAAAGCACTGGTATTATAAAGCCCTACAGGGCTTGGTCCCTGGATATCTTTGAGAGACCATTGTTTCCAAAGAGATTTTGACCAAGCTATTTGCTTGTTTAGGAGGGGATGCTGCCGTTTCTTTCAGCCCAGAAGATGAAAGGGAGGTAGTGGATGCTCGGTAGATATCCTAGCCCTATGAAATAAGCCCCCTCCCCCAGTTCCATATAGTCTGTACACTCATTTTAAGAAAGCTTGTTAAAACCTGGCTGTTTTAATAAGCTCTTGGAGATTGAGGGTTGGAGCTGGCAAGGCAAGAAATCAGGAGCCTGGGAATGGTCAGAGCCTCTGAGTAAAGGAGAAGTACAACAAACATCCCATATGAGAGAGAGGTTGCTGGCAGTCCATTATAAAAGAAAACAGCTCAGGATTTGAACTTTGAGCCCTCCACAACTAGATTACTAGTGTGTCAAAGACTGTTGTTCATCTTAGTACAGTTGCTTAGTTCTGTAATAAAGTTACTTGAATCTTAGGTACTAGAGAAAGTATACTGAATACCAGAGAAATAATTATTGCAAGGATCCAGGGGATGCTTTCTGCCTTATCTTCCAGGTAAGTTGATGCATAATTACTATCTTAAAGTGATACAACTCTCTTGATAGGTTGTCCCAAAGAGAGAATGTTGGTCTCCAGAGGACACACAGAAAGTGAATGAGTGCACATTAGTATAACAATTACTTCTTTTATGCTGATGCCATTGATTACTGAATATGAGAATGAGCCCAAGCTTCATACTGAGGAAAATCAAGCATATCAGATAGTGTACCAGCTTTTGGGTTTGAAAGAGTCATGGGATAAAATTATATATTGGTAAAGGTGGCAGGCAAGAGAGAACAGAATAGATGCAGCCAGCATCTGCTCCTCTTTTTTTAATATCTTAATGCAGGCATACCTTGAATACTTTGAATTGCAAAGTAATTTCCTGCTCCCTTTCCCCCCAACTCTAGAGAAAATTTCATGAAAAGCTGAAAGCTTGCACACTATTTTGGGATCTTGGGTTGACCTAATAAAGCTGCTTATTTATTATTCACAGGGTTTACGTGCCACTCATGTAAAGTAGAACTACTTTGAGAAATATTTCTGTTTACCTAAACTGTTAGGTAACTTAAGTTAAAACGTACACATAATATAACAACACAGCACTAAAGAAATAGGTTTCTATAGGCAGTAAACTCCAGATTACATGAAGAAGCTGCTCACAACTTTCCCACCCCAAACCCTAAAGGATATCACGGGCAGACTTAAAGAGGGTTTAAGGTCGGTTAGGCTGTGTCCCCCGTCACCTTGCAAGGTAACCAGGTGGAGTCTGGCAGTCAGATCAGAATAGCCAAAGGGTCCGTGATCGGCAACGGGGACAGCAAATCCCAGGCCGTGTGTTTTTCCGACGACTCAAAGATGGGAATTACGGTGGTGAGGAGGGCGCTCAACTTCCCGGTTCAGCGGTTATTTTAACTGGGTGGTTCGGTGACCGGTGAAGGCAATCCCTCGCCTTCCCCCGCTGGTCGTCCGCCTTGGTTTGCACGAGCCTTACCGAGGGGCTCCCCGCGAGGCTTACAATGTGCACCGGCGCTCGCGCACCCTGACACCTGACCCTTAGCGGCCCTCGCCTGAAGGGGACGCGCGCGCGAGTCGGTCGCCATTTTGCTTCCTGGACGGACGATGAAGCGGGGATTTTGCCTCGCCGCCTTTTCCTCTTGGGCTCTGCTTGTGCTGTTCAGGGAAGCCGCCCCCAAATCCTCTGTGAATCTTTCTGACGGTGAGCCCGGCCTCACTCCGTCCTCGCGGGGCGTGCCGCCTAGGACGGGGTAGCGTAACAGACCGGCCTCGAGAAAAACCCGTCGCCGGAGCGCGGGGAAATTCTTCGAACCTGCCGAACAAGCGAGACGCGTCGAGGGCGCGCAAGTGCCAAAGGCGTCGGCGGAAACGTCTCCGCGGAGAGGGAGGCTGCGAGCGCGCCCAGTCGTGAGTTGAGGCGGGCGCTCCCGGAAAGGAGGCGTCCGCGGGGCTCCTGCAGTTTGTGCGACTCTGGTGGCTCGCGAAAC